TTTCAATGCAGGACATGTACTTCTAGAATAGTTACATTTACAATGTGATATTAATGCTTCTCCCACCAGTGCTAACATGAAAATGTCCATGCTTTTGTTATATAACATGTTATATTTACATGCTACTTTTTTTTTACCAATGTTTATCATTCTGTTTAACATTATAGTTCTGTCAGATCTTTTGGATCAAGCTCGTCCTGCAAAGACACCTATAGCTCAACCACCTGTCACACGGTCGGATGCCAAGGACATTGTTAGATTCTTCATTGTGAAACACGTCGATCCAGTGAAAATCTAATATTTCCTAAGACAGATATCAGACAGTAAAAATATCCAATCACTGCAGCCTAATCAACATTCTAAATTTGGTCGTTATGAACATGTTTCTATGGTAGATGTGTTTAGAAAGCAGATGTGGGCTTTTGGCACAAAATAAGCACAGTACCTCAAATACTTTTCAGATTGCTAATGATAATGAGAAATGTGATGCACTGCAATGACAAGTATGTTCAATAATACAAAAAGTAATAAGAATGCAGAGAAGAGCACCATGGACTGGTCTTCTCCCATTTATCATCCCTGTAGTTTGTCCATTGTGATGCCTTTTATTTGTTTCTTATTATCAGCTTTGGGTACCTGCTTCAATACTTCACTTTATTGAACCAGCTGGAGAAGAGGACGACAATCCCCAGAGAAAAATGATAATGATTTGGTCTTCCTTCTTCTCAGTGACTGGTGTGATTACTCCTAAGTGTTGCTGTGACAGTGGTATTGATTCACCCTGATATTCATCATCCATTCGCCTCCATGCTTTGTGCAAGCATGACCAGCCCAAACCCTTTCAGGACTTTAACAAAGGAAGAGGACCAGATCTAACTTTTCATGCTTGTGCCATCAAAGAGATTCAGGACAAAATATAAGGCACACATTTATTTATTTTTTTGTCCAATTAATTTTGGGATATTGCATCTAGACATTAATCTCATTTAATAGAAAAAACACTTTCCTGAGAAACACAGCAATGAGACAACAACCATTTAGTGAAAGTAAAATGCCACAGACATGTAGTGCAACAAATTCCCAGCACAAACCTGAGAAACCTGAGCTATATACAGCACAAAATATATCATATGTGGTGGCTGTACGCTGTTGATCTAACTAAAGGCCACAGAAACAATAAGCCTCAGTGTGGTTGTGATGCTTCAATACTTTAATCCCTCAATCCTGCACATGGGCTCATACCCGACTGGATGCTCTGCTCTGGAGAGGATGATGATCAACAGATGCTTGAAATCTTATTACCTGGGAGGGGTGCACTTAAAATACTGATTCAAGTGTTTCTCTGCAAACTCTGCTTCGGCATCATGTCTACCAGCCGCTATGCTGTAACGTACGCTATACACTGAATACAGATGTGCAACATCTGTCGCTGTGATCACACAGAGGTCAAAGTAGTGCTGTGGCTTTTTCTACTAAAATATTAATAATAATGTTCTATATAAAATATATAAGTGTAAAGAATGAGGCCTGTGAATATATTATTTTTAATTGTGAACAAATCCGATGAAAAACCAATCACTGCTAAGTAGGCTCCTGTACTGACGGCTTGATAGATTTGATTTAGATCATCTGGACTCCCTGACCTTCAGCTGTAAACAGTTTTAGTTTCTCTCCAAATACTCTTGTTGGTTTGACGGACTGCAGCTGATATGTTGATGTCTTTTAACTACTCACGATTAACCTTGATACTATCCACAGCATACAGCTGGTTTTAGTAACACTTCTCTTTGTACATGATCTGCCCAGCATTAAACGGAAGACAGGTTGAAGTTAGCAACTAGCTGATGAACATAGTGGAGGCAACTACAGAGCCAGATATTTCCCTCAGGAGTTTGTGGAAACCAAAAAAGCTAAAAGGTTTATCGATGTATCATGTGATAAGAAACATGGGTTCACTTGATTTATACATTTCTTCATGTTAGGTGTATGAATAGACTACTGCTGTTATCATGCCACATTCTCTATAAAAGGACAAGTAGGAAAAAATGTTTATGCACAGCAGGAGACACACAACCCCTTGCTGATTAGGTCTTTTAGATTGCTAAGTAGCCTTCGCTGATTCATCAGGCTCCTATCACATGATCCCCTACTGTAAGTAAACAGCCTGTTTTGTCTTCGCTAACAGTTTAATGCGTTTTACAATGAAACAACTGTTTACATGTGTAAGAGACAAATTATTATTCAAGCAATCTAAGACAATTCTGATATCAAGTGGGAGGCAGATGTCTTCCTGTTTACCTCTGCCTGCACTTACCCAGGGTATGTGAGTGGACACATTATGTGCATTTTCAGGTGTGTTAGTATGGAGGGGGATTAGACCTAATATTGAGCTTAACGCTTGCATGGACAGAAATCTTTGTATGATGTGTGTCACATCATACACTGAAAAAGTGACCAAAAGGTCATTTGAGGATCTGTTATTGAATTTGTTGTACGCCCTTCTGCTCAGCTGTCACGTATCGATTTAGCATGGTGCCATGTTATCCCTGACAAGCATGAAAACACATTTCAGTGACAGTATGTGCACTCATTTTGCATCATAATTAAAGCATGAGATACATAGCCAAGTGCTGGTCTGTACTATCCAGTGCAGCATTTGCAGCTGACCTGTTTCTCCGGCCCATTTGGCACGTTGTGCATTGTTTTGGGAAAAAAAAGGAAAACGACAAGATTAGTGTTACAACAAAACTGCCATGGGGTTTTCCTGATAAAAGTAAAATCAATCTTATAATACACATGGGAGGATTTATTGAACCAGCCCCTCAGCCTTGAAGTGATAAACGGAGACACAAGCACTAACCTGATGCCAATTTCTAACCAATAAAGGACAGAGGGAGGAAAGAGGAGTTCTGTCTGTGCTGGCCTATTCCTCTGGGAAAGATGAGCAGCTTGTGATACCTGCATAAGTCATCCACCTGGCCCTGCTGTGTCTGTGGTGACTGTTTAGCAGTGAGTGGAATTCACATCTACAGTACCTAACTCTGCCTCTATTTTGGGGCAGGAGAACCAAAAAGAAAACAGACCCTACATTATGTTGTTTTGTGAGTTTCACGTCGTTTCTCGCAGAGAGAAAAATTATATGAGCACTGGGAACTATTCAGCATATTTCTCCATAATATGTTTATTCTACTGCAGCCGGAAAGCATCTACCATTCCCAGTGTAGATTAACAGAAAAGCAGTGCATCTGCATTGTTAAATTGTACATTGGCGACACATTCATTTATAAATAAGGTCAACATATTACAGTAAGTACTGTGAAAGCAATGTGACAGTGTCACTAATTAAATCTGGGAAGCTTATTGTCCCTTTTGTTTCTGCCCAGGAAAACTACACAAACACTCCTTGTCCTGGTTACTGAATAGTGGAGTTGATGCTGTAAACAGTCCAGTCTCTGTGTGGAATTATTTATAGTAGTGGCGCTGCCTCCATGGCTTCCTCATCTGTCTCTGTTGTCTGATCAAACAAGGTACACAAGAGTAAGATCTTCACTTAATCTAACTCTTTTAAAGGTGCTGTCTTAACACATCCTACAACTAAATAAGAAAAATGAAAAATGTTTTCAGTAGATGGTGATGGACCATATGACAGCAGTGGGAAATGATTATCAAGTGCTCTTGACTGCACAATGAGAGTACAGGAAATACTGCATTGCTCATCCAGTGGCGTAAAGTCAGACTGGAAGATGCAGCATTGAAAAAGGTTATATTTACTTTTTATTAAAGCAATGATCTTTCTCCAACCTATCTGAAGTGTTATTAGTTGTTACAATGAATTCTACTTTATTTATAGAAAGATAACATGCCTTCAAATGTTGTTTCATGAAATGAGAACTGGAACCAAACACTGTGATCCAGTACCTTGCTGTGTGTGTGTAACATTCAGTTCTTATGTTTTTATAACCTTGAGAATACCTTTAAGGAAATGATTGAAGTTTTTCAGGTCAGTTTTAATACAACTCTCACGTAAACATAGGTGCTCCATTATATATACCCACCAGGTACAGATGGCTGGCAGCACCACTAACCCAGCTCACGTTCCTTTCTATGACCTTTACCTAATGAGACGCGTCACCTCAGCTAAGATTCCAGTTAATCTGGATCCTACTCAACACACTGTAGTGGAGGTGGTTGTGTCCAACACTGAATGAGGATCAGTCCTCTTCCAGTGCTCCATCCTGTACAGGGAACTTCACCCCTTCACCTCTATCTGTCTCCCACACCCTGTCCCTCCTAAAGTGTCACACTATGGGTGATGACACTGTGTGTGCCTCTGCTTGTACTGTGTGTCTGCCGAAAAGCTTGGTCACAGGGATTTTCAGTGGTCTACCCATCACACAAGACTGATACTAACTCAATCATTTTGCACTTAGCTACCATTACATAGACTTTTATGCTATTTGGGCTTGCATTGCCATAATTATTCATGCAGTATGTTTTTAAACCTATTAAGGAATTCTACAATACAAAAAAATAAATCCACATATGTATATATATTTAACTTATATTCTCATATATCTTCATATACCTGTTGAATGAACACAACACACAAAACCCAGGAGCTGAGAGAAAGAGACAGCCGGTTAAATAGACTCAAGCCCATCCAGGTGAACCTCATCTTCCTGACGACCTCCCCTCTGCTGCCACTCCCTGAAAGGGAAAGAGCACAAACAAGCCAAACAGAGTAGAAGCAGGGGGTGGGGTCTGTCGCTTGTTCAAAATGTCTTAAACACATATTTTGCAGGATCTCTGGCTGCGATGAGCTCATCTGGGCATCATGCAGAGTTATATGATGGGACGGGCAGGAGAATCGCTGGAGAAATCATTTCCGTTTTTACGTACAATCCATGTGGAGAATGCAAGGAGATTATCCAGTGATCAGCGCAGGTCTGAAAGCAGCTTTACATCCTCTTTTTCAGTTAGTGCTTACAGCCAGAGTCAATGTCTTCAATTAGCTGCTGGGGATATTCATATGGTGAGTGAGTTTTCTCCCCAAACAGTTCATGCGGGTCATCAAGCCGCCTGATTGGGAGTGGATTGCCCAGTGTCTTTATGAGCCCACAGCACAGCTGCGGCAACAGTTTTCCCAAAACTGATTCCATCCACCAACTCCACAAAAGGCAACACATGCACTACCTGACCCCAAGACCTACTTCAGGCAGCGGATGTTTCTGTGGGCACCGATGCGGATGTGGGGTATTCTGATAAAATGCCCTCAGTGTAGTACCAAGATGCACCATTCGGGGATCTACACAAAACTACAGGAGGTAAGTGACCTTGACTCCAGGTACTACTTGGTCGGCGGAGACTATCCTCGGTGCAGTAAGTGCATGACCTTTTTAATGCAGCCTTGGAATGGACCTTTTTATGCACCCTTGGAATGGACCTTTTTATGCACCCTTGGAATGGAGCTTTTTATGAACCTTTTTTATGTTCATTTGGAATGCACTCCTTGAATACACCCTTTTTAAGGAACTTGGAATGCAGTTCTTGACTGCACCTTTTTTATGCACTGTCTTATGTACATCTGTATAAAAGGATTATGTGAAGCAAAGGCGTGCCTGTCATTTTTATAATTTCTATGCATTAAATCTTCGAAAAGTGAATACTTTTGGCAGAAATGTTGAAGGCAGGGTAAACATGTTGAAAAACATCATTTCATTGGCATTAGAAGTGTGAAGTGAGCCCCTTTCTCTCTCTCCTCCTCTTTCCCCCCATTTCCCCTCCTTTTCCTTTCTTTCCCTTTACCGTAGCAGTCCCTTTTGCTCCATTTTTGTCTGAAGACTTAAAAAGCTGGACTATAAAGATGTTTACTTCTTCTACATCTGTCCTTGTTGAGGTCATGTCAACTTCTGATGCTTCCACCTGCTGCACTGTAAGAACCAAATTTAGCTGTTTGACTTGACACAGCTGAAATAACATTGTCAAAAAAAGAAAAATACTTTTCATCTATAATCATTCATCTATACTTCAATTGTATCCCACAGATGTGACACAGTAGTATTGTCATAAAAATCATGATAAAACCTGAGCCACCTTGTATAGTCAACTTTATATTTGCCTGAAGCATTTATTACTCTCATTTATTTTCCTTCTGTGTTGCCCAGAGAGCTGCAAAAACCTTGGGAAACAACCTCTGTGTGCTGGATGTTGGTGTCTGTTGCTTTGACGGGGGTGAACTGTGGTGGAAATCCCCTCTTTCCCCCCATGTAAAGATGACTCCATCTTCAGCTCCTGCATTTTTCATGTTTCCTTTCCTTTCCTAAAAGTGAACTATAACTTTTACATTACATTTGGCAACGCCACTGCTTTTGAATTTGGCATTTCAGACCCATTTAGGCCTGAACATATCACAGACTGTCAAGGCTTATGTTGAGTTTATTTATTTATGTTCATAAAAAAGCATACATCTGTAGCCACAACAATGTTATTACCTGTGCTCTTCTTTATCCCTGCAATCTTTTCCTTTATCCCTATGTCTTTACACCTCATGGACTCTGCAGCTCAGTAAATCTTAACAGCAATGCCACTGCTGAGAAAGGTTGTTACCATTTGTATAAGCTCTGCCTGCTGGTTTTATTTGACTGGATATGTTTACTTTTACGTATATTCCATAGTTTTCATTTCATCTACCTTTTGTGTTTTTAATGTCTTTGTACTCAAAAGATCATTTGACAGTTCTATGATGTCTGCTTCAATAAATTCTATTCATATTTGCTCTACTTTGGATTTCAGCACTGACTGTGGATTTCAGCACTGACTGATTTAACTTTCAAATGTGACTGACAGTTGAAAGGACAAGGACAAGCAAATCATATAATACAGATAAAACGAGGTATTAATGCATGACACCTTTTAAGCAGAGAGTGGAAATCATTTCAATATTCTGACCTTTGACATCATGAGATGTCCTGGGACAGGTCCTAATACCAAAACGTTGACAGATAATTATGCAGAGTCTATTTCTGTGTGTGCGTCTGTATTTTCTTTCTCCAGCTGACGAGACTGAGAGTCTCTGCTGCTCTCTGATTTAAACATGAGAGTGTGGGCACATCCAGACACACCGGTGGGTCAGCGGCTGGATGGAGGGGATCAAAGAGAAAAACAAAGAAATACCGGCTCACTGACTGGTTTTGAATCAACCTGGGAGACGTCGTTTATTTGGGACATTGTGACCTCTGAGAAGGTCTTGTGGGTATTACACAGGTATTGTTAGACTTACAGTGAGGAGAAATGCACCTGGGGCAAATAGGTCTTATCTATTAGCTGATTGTGTGATACCTCTGCAAACAAGACCTTCTCAGAGGTCACAAATAAAGGATGTACCTCCTTTGGGGCTTCTTGAGTATTCAGCGTGCAGGTTACTCTTTGTCACAGTTGAAGAGTGTCTCAGTGAATGTCTCAGCTACCAGGCTTTTAAACACGTAAACAGATTGGAACACATCACCCAGGGATTTAGGCTTTTTCAACTGGCTTCTAGTTCATTTTAGATGTGATGTTAAGGTTTTTTTAAGTACTAACAAGTCACTTAATGGTCTCTGACAGAAAACTGTGCATCTTTTATCCGTATACAACCCTGCTCACAGTTTGAGATCTTCTGTCAGGGGCCTTTTAACTGTTGTAGATTTTCAACTGAAGACTAAGTTGTGTCAAAGCTTAATAATGCCTTTACTGTACCACATTCCCTGACTTGATCTAGTTCTACTTTTTATTATTGTATTGGGAGGTAATGCCTAAATTTCTGTTTTCTTTAATGGATTCTTATATGACTGTCTTATATATTTTTTCACTTGTAATTTTCCATGAAGCACTTTGTAAGTGTGTTTAAAGAGGTGCTATATAGAGAGATATTATTTTATAAATATTTTGTTAAGGATAGTTCACCACTATATTCTAATTAATCACGGGAAGCTGACAAATGTCAGCCTTTAAAAACTCTACATTATGTTTATATATGAAAAATGACTGCCACTACAGCAAGAGTTCGACAAATAAAAGTGGAATCATCCATTAATTCATGAGAACATCAATATTAAAGGTTGCAAATTTGCAAGTTGCTTTGTATGACCTACAAGTGCACTTCAATTAATCAAAAGATGTGACAGAGAAAAAGAAAACTGCTGACAGAACTGTCCTTCAGTCATGTCCTTGCCTGTTATTCATATATGACACTGTGTTCAAGTTCTGTAAATATTCAACTTTGTGTATACTAACTAAAGTATGAATTTACACTTTGTAGTTCATCCACATTTAATTTTTGCAATCAAAACTATTTTCAAAGCTCACAGGCACCAGAGGCTTGGTCCAGTGTTTCCAAGGTAGGAAACTGCTGAAATTCTGTTTCTCTTTCATAGATATAAGGAACCGCTTTCTCAAGCTTAAATGGGTCATTCAAATGAGCACTGAGGAGAAAGTACAGGTGGAATGCTCATGTTAAAACTGTCGAGGGCTTGAGATTGTAAAGTAGTAATCTGTGTGATGGAAAGAAATCAGGTTGAATCATTCACAGCGATGACATCATCTCCATCCAAATAAGAAGGAAGCTGAAAAGACTGATTGCAGTTGAGAAAAGGGTGATTTGGAAAAGAGCAGCACATACACGTGACGTTCGGACAATTACAGTGCAGCTTAAATAATTCACAGCTTTACTGTGAATTACATGACAGTGTAACAGGATAATCAATACTTGACTGCCTGTAGAGCAGTGCCTCAATGGCTGTTCGTTCAAGTTATGGCACAGTAACATTTTAAATTGTGATGTGCCGTTCTCACCTACTGCCCCTTTGTATAATTTCAGAATAATATCTGGAGTTCAGTGTATGTTTGAAAGTAGCTAATTAAAGTTTAAACACATTCAACATGACACACAACTAGTTAGAATATAATCAATACCTATTTGAATATATTCTGGTGAATTTAAAGTCTCCAACTAAACGAACTATGATCTGGATATTCTTTGGACTGACGGAGGACAGTACCCGGTAGTATGGATTGCAGATATGCCCGCAGACTCACAGTCGATTTGCGGGTTGGGTTGTAAAAATTTACATTTATGATTAATAGGGTTTGGGTGGGGGAAATAGGCCAATTCGCTGAGGACAATTAGCTTTCTATTTGGGAGAAACAAGGCCACTCATTCCCACGGTAGCAGCAGCATACAAACACAATCTTGTGCATTACTGCAATGAGCGCTGCGAGCGAGCGCTCATTCAGAGTCGGGCGCATCAAGGCAAGGTCGGTCGCCTAAATCCTGGCACAGAGGCTATTATTTTTGGAATATTTATTGGGATGCGGGTCTCTAAATTGGAGAAAATAATTCCTTCGGGTTCATGATGGGTGGATGAATCAAGCACACAAGCGTTTTTTTTTTTTTTTTTGTCAGTGTATGAAAGGTGCTTGAAAAATCAAATTGCCCAGCCTAACCTTGGACACAAAGATAACATGTTTTGGCCAGTGTGTGGATTTTGCATTAGGAAAATCTCCTAGCCAGTAGAAATACCTGTTAGCCACAATGAGTAGCCTCTTCTTATTTGTGCATTCCTACGAACAGTGGTGGTGAATGTGGGAAGCCAGTGAGGGATCACAACATCAGTGCTGCCCTTCATGGGGGGATCAGAGCGTGTGCACAGAGTACAGTAGCATTTCTTAAAATCCTCTCCGGTCTCACACTCTGCTAAGTGCACAAAACTGCTGAACAAGAATGTAGAGCAGGCTGCTATTTTGGTAAAGAGGCTACGAAAAGACTGACTTTAAAATAATTCCCAAATACTGCATCCATCCATTGCTCAAACCATTTATCCTTTTTAGGGTTATGTCGGGCTGGTAGCTTCTCCTGTCTATCATAGGGCTGACACACATAGTCACACAAAAATGCATCCTGATACTCGCTCAGATCAATGGGCACATTAACCGACAGTTTATGAAAAATGTAAAACCAGAGTTGGGACGTTGGTTGTGTTAGATTAAATCACAGCACTGGGTTGAAGGAGAATAAGATTATGTTCTGGTCAATAAGAGATGTTCCCAGTGACCTTGAACACAACAGGGGCATTGACATTAAAGAAAAACCATAACATTTCCCTGACCTTACCCAAATAGCTTTTGTATTGATTCACATTCACAGATGGATGTGAACATCAGGCCTCGTCTACAGTACAGCTGATATTTTCATGAACACGACCTTCATTTTATGTTTCTGCACAGGCATAGACAGAACACAAAAACTACTCTGAACGCTCAAATAGGCAACCAGTAGGTGGTGATAAGTCTACATCAAAGATCTGTCAAACACCAGATAAAGGCTGTGGTCCAAATATTATCTGGTCCTATAAAAAAACCACCATTATTGTTGTTGTTGTTTCTGGAGCATGATCATTACACAAAGCAACAGTGGGCATGCAATGGATAAGCTGTGACATCATTTCTCAAACGCTTCATTTTGCACGTGCACATGGAGGCAGAGGAACCAGAGCTTTTGAAAGTTTGCACTTTGGAAGGCGTTTGTTAAAATCTCTGTTTTAGTGACATCACGCAGTTTGCATTTGGACGGGAGGCTGAAACGCAGAGGAAACCTTAGTTCTGCAAAATATCCACATTAGTGTCGACAGCGCATTACTTTTGTTGTGTCCATCACCCACACTATACATCTATGGGCAAGTTTCAAGCTGCTGTCTGCCATTAAGAAATGTAGCCCTCTTGAACATAATCTAGCCAGAAAGACAATTATTTTTAGAACGTAGGACAAGATGGTGAATAGCCCTTGTACGTTTCCTTCTACAAACATTAAGTTACCAACTACCAGATATTAGCAGGCGTTAGCGGCCATCAGCAGATGTTAGGCACATATCTTCAGTTGTGAACCTTTACATATTTGCTCTTGCAGATTTGTCGATATGTATCTTTGAGATAGGGGTGAATATCAAGGGGTTAAATTCTCTTCACCAGAAACTTTACGCACTCACACAGTGTACAGTTATGTTATTGAACTTGCCAAACTTTTACTTCAGCTCTTAAAGTGGGCTCTTACGAGTGTGTATGTGCTTGTGCAATCTTGTGTGCTGTGGATTTATATAACATTTGGTGAGAGGCATCAATCACAAGGAGCAGAGAGCTGCAGGAAAGAGCTAAAAGCTTCAAATTGAGCATCATCCTCAGCTTTTCAATTTCAGCTAAATCAGCAGTACCAGCAACTCTTTCCCATCAAAGGGACACATTTCATACAGTGTTAAAAATATCTTTAAAGATGTCCTTGTGTTTAATGTATTGACTGGATAACATTGCTGCTTTTTCTGTAATTGTATCTTATGGACTCATCCTGCCATTTAGCACAGGCTGTTGTAAAGGCCTTTAACAGAAGTTGTCCAGGGATGGAAGAGGGGACAGTGATGAAAACCTTTTTATTAGATTCAATCGGAATGTCATCTTTGTACTTAAAGGAGACAGCTTATGCTTTTTCAGTCTTTCCTTTGCCTCTAGTGTGTTTTTGTGTTTTTAAAAGTTAAAAAATGGGAAAAAAACTTGATGTCTGTTGTACAAGGTGCACCTGTCCCTCACTGCTCATGAAGTTGTTGCCTCGTCAGTATTCCGGCACTTCTGCACCACTCACATTAGCATAATG